GGGATCAAGGGCAAAACCACTGGGTAAAGGAGGAGACCTCAATATTTTTTTTTTCCTATATAACTTTTTTCGAAAATTATATTTTCTAAAATTATTATTTATCAAAAGTTAATTTTATGATATCTTTTAATTGGACAGCTAAATTTGGTAAATATTTCATTGTAACCTCAAAATTTAGTTTTCCCTTGTAAAACTACCTCGATCATTAAAACTCATCATGCTTAAANCAACTTTTAGTCATTTTAATACAAGATTGCATCCAAATCTTTTTTTAACGGAACAACTTTGCTACGAGATAGACATACAGTTTCTATATGCCAAAATCATTTCAGATTTCCATTTACGGAAAATGGATACACGTGCATCATGTGAAGAAGTGAACGAGGCCATGTAATATTGAAGATATGTTTGGTTGTGCTGTATTTCCACTTCCATTTTATTAGTGTTCGACTATGATTGGATAGTTTAAAAAAATAAATTAATATGTATGTATATGGTAGGAAAGACATCACAGTCACCTTAAATTATTGTCGTGAAAGGAAATTTTATTCAAATATTTAAAACATAAAGTTTCTCAAAAGTAAAAGGAGATCCGATATTCAACAATTAGTCATTTTTAAAGAAAAAATTGTCTGGCTTTTCTAAATCAAATCAAAAACAACACAAAAATATAGTAGAATAATGAAGCCATATGATGTCATACAATGTGAAAGTTTTAGGAATAAGGAGGAGACTAGTATTACACTAAACATCACTATGGTACCCGTTAAGAGAATTAGCTTGAACAATTTAATGACTTGTAGTACAAATTAATGCGCATATAAGGATTGAGTGTTATACGAACGTAAATGACTATGAATGTATTAAATCATCATGAGTATAGGGTGCACAATCAAATAGTGCTGGACGAGTGGTTTTGTGTTGTTGATGATTCATCATGTTGATACAATGACCCTATGTCATATAGCCCATGGAACAAATCTTCTAAAACGTAGAATTATCTTATTCTTCCACCGGATCATCCTTAAACGCCTTTAAGTGACAGGAATACATGAATATCTATGAACTTCGAAAATTAGTCTTGTTTCGATTGAGATGACCTAGTTATCAAAATATCGAGAGCACAAATGCAAGTGAAGAACTAGTTATTCTAAGAGCATTAAAAATCTTGATGCGGTGACGAGTATCGAGAGTACAAACACGATGAAAATATGAATGCCAATTGTACCATATCAATCCATATTGGACTGCGAGATGAGAAATCATGTATTGACATAGCCAATCCATGAAATGGTTTATTGACTAAAAGAAAAAATTAAGACATTTTTATCATGCCTCAAATGGTCCCCATGATAGCCAAGACCAAACATACTATATTTTGGTAGGTTTGGAGGCATTGATACCAAACCCGCACAGTTCAATGTAGAAGAATGTGGCAAAAAGAATGAGATTGTGATAAGTTAAATTATAAACCGTGACCAAAAAACCTATCGACTCATCCCAATCTTGAAGAAGTTCTAATGATAAATGATACAAATAAAAGTGTAACACGACATGAACAACACGAGTACTTGACATCAACCAAAATAATAGAGTTGCAAGAAACGATTTTGATGTATTATTTTATGACAATGGAAAAAAAAGTCCGGTTATTTTTCGCCCACAATTACAAGGAACCAACTTCGGATGAATGGTATTATGGAAACGCAAACCTTGCCAAAGAAAACTAGTTAAGATTTAAAAATGGTAGT